ATTCTTCCGCGAGGTGTTTCGCAAAATACAAACAAGATCCCGAAATAAAAAAACTGTAACGTGCACATGAAAATTAAATTTTCCGAAGAGGGAAAGAGATATGTAAATGCAGTTATCCTGGAAATGCATTATCCCGAATTGTCATCGCGAATTTGCTATTTCACTCACGTTTAAATTGTCGAGATACTGTCCGCTTGATTCTGGAATCATGTTTTTTTATGGCTTTAGCATGCATCGCCCGTGGATTTCGGGCGGCAAAAAAGAAGGATATCTCGAGTCGACGCAATTTCTGCGCAATAAATTTCCGGCGCACGTTGCGCCGCATTTCTAATCTCGCCGTTATAATTTCCCAACGTCTCACGTGTGTTCGCCGCATTATCCAACACATTATCGAGGCGGTGGTTAAAAGCAAGATAAAAATAATCGAGGAAAGCTTGTCGTGAATGTCACGTCCTATCTTAAAAAGAAAACGTGTCATTATCATTTATTTTCCGCGGTGCCGATTTACTAGCTCGATCTTAACGCGAATTTTAGCTTTCTCATTACTACTTATTACGAGCGGTTGTCATCATGAATCTTACGTGTTTGACCATTATTATAAATTTTTACTTGATTTTTCAAGCATCAAATCTTTAAATTTTACAAATTATTTTCCTTTTATTTGAAATACCGAATATTCACTTGACTTTAAATTTTATATCGCCGTTCTATTGACAAGGCAGTTTGGTTTTAGTATTTCTTCTGAAAAAGATCCTTATCAAGGAAAAAAAGGACCAAATATAGATAACCATTCTGCGTTCCAGTAACAAATGTTGTGTAAATACTTTCTTTTATTCTTTGGATATTCTTTTAATTCCAACATACATTCCTATAGTATATCATAAATTTCTTCTTTTGACATCGTTTGTTCTTTCACTCTGTGTCACTAGCTTAGAAGAGTAGGATATGGTAGCATGACTCTGACACACACATAAACCAAGCGTAGCAGAAAAATACCATATAAATCAACAATGACATGTTCCCCGTGTTTGGAATGAAAAATGAATTTTTTCTTTTTTTCTTTTTCTTGACGTTATCTTGATGTATCGTGATTTTCTGTTCTACCTGAGTCATACGTAAGCAGCTGCATCAGCACGTTTTTGACAAAAACATTTTTATGATTCGAGAGTCTCTAATCTCACGCTAAATTAAGCCGAAATATAATGTCGATGACGCGGCTTTAAACGGCCGTAAACTTACTATTGAGTATTGATATAGCGACATGAAATAAAAAGCAATCTCTTTGGTACACATTAAACGCACGCGTTTATGCTGCTCTTTTATTGCCCATTTAGAAAAATCGAGCGTCGCGATCGATTAGAGCGCGGCAACGCGCTCGGCGGGCACAAGAAGCACTTGTTTCACTCACGATCGAATTGTTTAGACTCCTTTCTTCGTTTCTATTGTAACATTGAGATGATTAACGTTGTTACTGTAAATCGAAGTAAAAGAATAATTGTAGTTATTCGCAAAATGGTAGAGAGAATATTTGTGTTCAATATCATGAGCTTTATCTCTGCGCGCAAGCTTTGATGCACGCGTTGTGTCATATATTTTGTGTACATTTAAAAAACGCTACAATAAAAAGAGTATATAATAAAAAGATTATGAAGAGACAAACCTTTGTTTTACATATCCATTAATTATGCAGAGTGTCTGGATTTAAATGCTCGTATACAGGTAAAATTCATTAAATTAAAATATAGGAATTGAATAATAGAAAAATCGTGTAACATACATCATATATTATACAGACTCTGCCACGATAAAATGTTAAAATATTAAAGAAAGGAAATTGATCAATCGAGATTTTATTTATAGAGTTTTTTTATTTTTAATTTTTATTTTTATTTGCGGTGGGACGCAAGTTCTGTAAGGTTAATTCGTCACAAAATCGAATACTCCAAATTCATCGCGCATAAGATATTTAAAAATAGCTGCCTTTTTTTAGTTACTCAAATAAATGCTTTTAATTTCAGTTAATAAATTTATATCTCCCAGCGAAAATATATACATTTCAGCTGTGACAGCCAAATCTTGACAGCAAAAATAGAGAAAAATATTTGAGAGTTTCTATATTCTCGAGATAAAAAATTTAACAATAATAATTTATCAACTAATCGGACAATTTTTTTTTGTTTCAGATCTGGCGAAACTTGTGATTTGGATACGGTATCTGAAAGATGTAATTTTGGTGAATGCTCGTGCTATAACTGAAGATAAAATCGGTTCTACCAATAGAATTACTTCAAGTCACACAATTAAATTAAAAATCTTGTTGACTTTGAAATCTTAAAAAATCCGAAGACAACTTCTGGAATTAAAAATTCAAGAAATAAACATCAATTTTATTTCAAGATACAAATATTTATTTCATAATTATTATATAAAGCCAAGTACGAAGTATTAATACGAGCCGTTGCAAATGAAGGAAGATCTACGAAAGGAAAATAGGAATTAAAAGAGAAAGAGAGAGAGAGAGAGAGAGAAATAGTGAAAAGAACAGTTGCAGAGTATAATCTTTGAACGATAACGAAGTAAGCGAGAAAAAAGGATAGAGAGGATTTAGAGAAGTCTGAGAAGATTAATATCGATGGAAGAGCGTCGAAATGGAGCAACATACAAGCGATCCGAGCAGCAGCTGTAACGGCAGGAGGGACGCGTCGTTCTGGTAAAATTAGGTAACAACTTCGATAACTCCGATGCGCGTATATAACACGCTTAAGCCGAATGTATTGCGGCCGAGTGCAGGCTCGGCGTCGACGCTGCAACGTTGTTACGTGCTGCAGCTGCATTAATTACACCGACCGACTATCTTTTCTTGTTCGGGCCGGCCGTATTCTCTCCCCCGATTAACTAGCTAACGAACAATATCGTAACAATTTAACCCGGTCTTCCCCGATACAGTTTAGTCGTGCAAATTTCAGAGGTTCAATTGCAAATTATCATGTCATGATATCCTTCACATTTGAAGCACCCTTTGATCGCTTACGTACCTAAAATTTAAGAGATGAGATGAATTTCCGTGTAAACAAAAATAACATCGAAACAAAGATTCAAATAAATCCGTTACAGACTAAATTCTTGCC